AAATCGTTATGTTAAAGGTACAAATCTTAAAAAAATAAAAATAACGTATCTTCTTAAAGGTAAACTCTGCAAATAGCAATGAAATCGCATTGTAAAGTTTCAGCGTATGAATACCAAATATTATATTGTATATTAATTTGTCACTTTTGAAAGACAACTATTTTTAAATAATCCACTTTGTTATACTGATAAGAACTTCCCGATTTTATTTTGGTAGAAAAATAATGCTACATTGATAGGGCTGTCAGAAGCTTTGACGGAATACGATTATGCAAGCAAAATGGAAACATCTAGATCTCTTCTTACTTAAAAAAAATAAAAGTATTAAAACGTGAATAAGCACTAGAAAAGCAATTACTAATCACGCATCTTAAAAAAATTCAATTTATTTGATAAAATCATTTGCTATTGACTGATATTAAACTGGTCCGAAAGCCATCAGTAGAGTTTAACATCATTTATTGAGACTGAAATCATAATTTATAAAGCAAGTTTTAGATAAAATTCTATACTCAGAGTTATTAACAGTATCCTAGCTTAAGGGATTATGCATCTTCGCCAAAGTCAATCGATTAAGGAAGAAATTTCATACATGCCCGTAAATATTCATATCCCAGCGCTCTCCTGTCTTACAGAACTTTCCTCATCTCAAGTTACTTAAGTTACCTTCTTGATCATGTTACATAATCCACAGTTTTCAGTTTAAAAATTCATTCAATGATGAGCTTGAAATTCGACGACATTCCAGAAGATGAAGTATCACGTCCAATAAAAGATTAAAATACAGATTTAAGTCGTAAAATTTACTTTAAAGAGATATTTTATACTAAATTCATGAACTGCATGCAGTGATGAAATTTTGCGATGATGAAATTGCAATGGATTGTATCAATGTGATTCACTTACCCATGAAATTAATATTACCTTTGGTATCTTCCGAAAATCATTTCTCGATGTGTTTAAGTTGCGGATATTTTCTCAAATGAAGGGTGTTTCAGAAAATTCATACTCCAATAACATTGAAATGAATGCATTGAAAGGTTACATAAGCATGATGCGGATTGATTTTTAAATGACGAGCTCTGGATGGATATGCCATAAATAGTTACTAATTTGTGGAAAGGCAGAGGAAGTACACAAATTAAAGTGAAGAATGAATGGGTCTATTCCCAATTAAAATGAAAAGATTGTTTTACATATTTATATCTTACATATATATGTCTCTCCACACATATAACATGTATCTGAGGAAAAGAAAGTGACTTGTCTTGAGATAATTTCTTGCTCAAGTAATTCTTTGTTTTTCCATCACCCATTTCAAGACATATACGAAGATATATACGAAGAGGGACTACTATTTTTATATTGGTTGAATGTATTGAAGGTCTTAAACTGATATCTCAAAAACATCCCTCTACTAATACCAGGATTTTAAAATAATAATTTAGCTTATAGTTTGAAATAAACATCTTTCACATATTAATAAATTTTTAGGATATTTAAGACATCTTATTGAACAATAGAAACGGTAAGGTAAATAGCACATGTACAAGAGTCTCTTTGCAATAGATATGTTATTCTAAGGAAGTTAAGTGGATGAGAGTTTTAACCAGTAATTTTTACAGTTCATCTCTATAGGAGAATATATGAGCATTTGGGAACAGTTAAAATGCTGCCTAGAGAATAGTTTATAATGATACTTTCTTTTAAAATAATATTAGAATAAAAATAAAATTATCAAAAGTAAAAACACATAGGACAGTATTTTCTATGTGTAAATATGATAACCTGATTCAGAAGATCACGTGGTATTCTTTCGGTTTTGGAAATACACAGAAACAAAACATTAAAAATAGCAACATTTATATGCAAAAGCAACGTGAAGAAACGATGTCATATGCGAAGAAAATTGTATGAGAATTATAAAAGTTTACACCTTTATACTCACTGATACAATTTTTTTCGATAATAAATAATCAATTTTTTTTATTAAGAAAAATTTGACTTTCATAAATGTAATATTGTTTCGTTAAGAAAATAATATGATGCCAAAATTCATTTTCAGGACGACATATTTGTAAGTACAGAAGGTAAGAAAAACACGAATTACAAATCTGTTTCAAAGCCTTGAAAGAACATCTTCTGTAACACTAGGAAAAGTATTGGAAATAAATAATATTGACATTCCTCCCCCTACATTTATGGCAAAGTCAATTAACCGTTGAAAGAGTATTGAGTAGTTTATAAATTCTCTGTAATGAAACGAAGAATATGACCACTTTAGGAAGATAAGAATAAGATTTATAGAGGGTGTTTACTCATTTTTAGAATGATTTCGATAAACAATTTAAGAAAGAAAATGTTTTGGAATAAAAAATTTCTGACAAAAACATATTATTTGCAATAAGAAATACCATCTTTTACTTTTAAATTCATTTTTTCTTTGAAAGGTAGCTATGTAAACAAGTTGTTGATCGAAACATAAGTTTTTATGCCTTCCGAAGAGAAATATTTCGGTTTCGTAACAAACAAATAGTGAAATACATTGCATTAAAATTTCTTAGTGCAAAATAAGCGATATTATTAATCGGTAAAGAAAAAAAAAAGTCGATCATTACTTCTGTATGGTAAGAAGAATCCAAACGAATACTTGAAAAAGGTTCGTACTGTTTCTAGTGTTTTTAAAATTAAGTAGTTGATAACAAGGAAAAAAACAGCAACGCAGAAATCCTAGTCTTTAAATGCTCTGTAAAAATAATAAATAGAATAGTAAACCAAGATTTACAACTCAAATAATAAATAGAATAGTAAACCAAGATTTACAACTCAAAGAAAGCTAAAAATCGTAATGTTCCCAAGCTTTCGCGGAGGCATGCGGCTTAAAGCAGAACAATTTGTAGAACCTTGCATAGAAACCATTTAGCAGCGGAAAATACATTCAATACCTTGATGAAACATGGGTTTACCTAAATGACTGCGATAAAAAAAAGTTCTATTTATTATCGAAAACGAAGAGAAAAAAATGTATAAATGTTTCGTCAATGAAAAGAAAGTCTTAGTAAATAGTTTATATTACGATGGGAAATTAAAAATGAGAAAAGTGAGAAAAATTTTAAAAATCACCTCAACTTATTATGAAGATAAAGTTTTGTGTCCGATATTTACGAAAGAAACTCTATTTCTTTATACCAATGACTTTTAAAAAGGGAAAATTAATCAAGATTAAGCAACAAGTCATATTCGAAACGTACCACTGCATTCCTTGACAGAATGAAGATTAATATAGGTATTGAATATATATATTTTTCAAAGTATTACTGCAAAATCCTTTAACGTCTCAGTTGGGACATTGGTATCTTGAAAAGTGCTCTTTCTAAGAGCAGACTGTGATACTTCTTTGGCGATATGAAGCAACTCCAATGATGGAACACAGAAAAAACTTTATTTAGCACTCAAAATGGCGACATACAAAACAAGAAGGAAAAAGAATTCTAACATTTAAAATTAAATTACATTCTTCGTGCGAGAATCGCACGTGGCACTGGAGCCTGGTTTCAAATACTGCCATTCACAAATACCTTAATGTTCATCTAATTAAATTATTTATTTGAAACTACAAGATTTTAATAATATTTAAAGCTATTACAAGACCCAACAGGATTGATGGACTCTAGAAAGTAGTGAAAGAGGAATGGAAATCAATGCCCATGGAAATTTTTTACGATAAGATTTCTGTCAGGGAACACACGATGCAGACTTACAAATCAGGAAAAAAGGCTATCAGATTGAACATTTAAAAAAAATACTTTTTACATCTTAAACATTAATCAAATGGCTTCAAAATTGTTCTAACAATGTGTAAATAACCTCGGTAATAGTTTAGTAATTTAAATATTAGTTCATTAACTTTTTTAAAATTTAAATATGAGTAAAGTGAGACCTGTAGTAAAATTACCAAAGAAGAAAAATGCAAACGTGTCTGAAAATAAATATTGTATCAATTAAAAATACAGAGGCAATTGATAAACATAGACCAACCATAGTTTCAAACGAATTTGGTCCTCCACGGTCGCCTTTCAGACTCTTAATATGAGATATTAACTACTTTGATTATGCTCTTCTTAACAGCTATGATACAGTGATAGTTTTCTTAAAGAGGTGCTGGCCGGGTGAAGATACATTATACCTGTTGAGTCATTAGGGTTTTGTGAAGCAGAAAAACATGAAAAATATGCAATGCCCTTGCCGAGACTCGAACCTGGACCACTCAAATACGCACCGAGTGTGATATACCGTTACACCACAAAGGCATGCTAGAAGGAGGGAGACAATATCCTTTATACTCCCCCTTTTGAAGGGCGACTGGGATTAGGAGACAAAGTCGCCAAATCCTGGTGGTGACGAATTATCGTCCACCACCTTTTAGTTCAGAGGCCACTGTAGAGACATTACATTTTTCTAAGCAAGGAAACGTGAAAAATATGAAGTGCCCTCGCTGGGACTCGAACCTGCACTGTAGTATTCTTAAGTATAAGAAAATACTAAGACCTGTGTTCTTGAGTATTTTATTTCTCCTTCTAGCATACCTTCCTGGTGTAACGCTAGCGCCAACTGTGGTACTGTTACTCCACGAAAGCATGCTAGAAGGAGGGGATAAAATACCTTATATACTCGCATATTGATCTCCAGTTCATTTTTGAATTTAAACAATATTATTGGCGTTCTTTTTCTCACTCTTAATGATGCGTAATAAAATTAGCGCTTTCGTGAAAACAATTAATTTCGTTATCCTTGAGCGTTTAACTTTTATTCTACTTTCTCTTAGTTTCTTATTGATCCTTTCATGTCTTTATGCTGTGGCTTTAAGTACATTGGACTTTCATTACTTAAGAACTGAAGTTTTGTATAATTCCTGAGTATCTTTAATCGTTTTAGGCAAATAAAGTATTCTTAGTTTTCAGACGAGACGCATCATTATTGTTAATACGTTCACTACTTACTTTTCCATAATTATGTCCATTTTTCAAGATATCAGGACAGCTACTTTCTGCTGCACCGGGCCACCTCTGATTTTGAGTTCCTGTACAAAAATAAATATTTTGTAGAAAAGACGAAGTAAAATAATATAATTAAATGATTAATTATGAAAAGCTTTCAAGTATTAATTCTCTTTGTTAAATCATGTTTTTGATAACACTTTCTCAACAAATATCAACCTTCTTTGGGAAGCATTACATATTTAAAAGGCATGTTTTTTCTCAAATCCAGTTAGAGTTTTAAAATAAAAGCTTGAGTGAAACACAGCACTTGAATACTTTATTAAATCTCAAAAATGCAAAGATCGAATATAATGAAATAGAAATTGGATCACGGGGATTTAACGATATAAAAAGTTTTAATTTATGGAAGGACTCAAATAATGAATGCTTTGAATTCATTCTCCCCTGTCTTCTGAAAAACCGCAGAAAATGATAAAATGTCATGATTTCCTTTTCTTCTCTTTTGCTTTCCTAATCCGCCAAAGAGAATATTTCCGAAGTTGCTAATCTTAAGCAATTTGCATATAAATAGGTTAGAATCTTAAAAATCTCTTTTATGTGGTGGCAAGAAATTTGACACTGCTTTGAAACACAAAGAATCGGCTTTAGTGGAAAAAATTTTAATTATCTTCAGTTTTTTAAAACATTTAAAAAAAGCATTTCTTTCGTTTCAGATACACACTTTCTAAAAGGCTCATAAGATTTTCATTTAATAGAAGATAGCCGGAAATAAAATATGCATGTTCATGAGCATGGTAGTTAGTAAGTAACACATACATCCTGTAGATAAATTAGATTAAGAATAAAATGTTTTCAGAACTATTTGCATTCTGTTTAATAGAATGTAAAATTACTTGAAAAAATTTTGAAATAAATTCAAGTAGCTATTCAGTAGCTTCAAGCTGTGTCATAAAAAGGGATGTAAATATCTTCAAAACTTAATTTCACGAAATTTCGATGTTTGCTATAAAATAATAAATGCAAAATAACTACAAAAATAATAAACTGTAATAAAAATCTGTGAAAAGAGACAGATTTTAACGGAGTTTATTAAGGTTTCCTACGCTCTCGCTGAGTTTGCAGTCTACCAGCCTGCTGTACATTCACACCTGTTAACCCATTTTTTTTGTCATTTTAGCTTTGCTATTAAGAATAATTTTTTTTTCACATAAGCTAATTACAATTCAATAGAAAAATTACAAAAACTTTAAAAGCAGCTTAGCAGTATAAGTTCAGAATTTCGGATGCAGCGTTAAGTGTTTACATGCATTTTTCTGTCTTTTTCCCCCAGTTTTTTCTCAGTTCATCGTATGAATGTTCAGTTTTCTTACTAAGATCTCTTTACAAAACTTTCTTTTGTGTTTTTATTATTAACGTTTTGTGTGTTTAATTTGTTTATTAAATATCATATACTTACGCAACATAAAATTCGATTAGAATTTCCGACAGACAGTCTCACACGCTGAACATAGAAATGCTTTATTCCGTACAGCTTTGCCTCTACTCACTTTGAAATTGTTGAGTTTCTTAATCAGAAATTTGCTAAAGTTTTACAAAATATCAAAAAGATAATAAAACAAAACAAACAATCGAAATTCAAAATTAGGGCTTTCAGGTGCTCATGTTCGGGTGAAGGACTACGTTATTCAAAATTTCATGGCTCTAGGTACCGTTGTTTTTTCACAGTGCACGAAACATACCTGTATTCATGCAGATTCTTCGCTATTTAATTTGTTTAAATATAATACACGGTGATAATATTTGATGGCAGCAGTCTGAAAACTGATACAACGCATTTAAGTGTTTCGACGCAAAATGGCATTTCGGGACTAATATTCCATTAAGACTGAAGCCTCTTTTGAACTAAAAAAAAATCACAACTGTTTTAGCAATTAATAAAAACAGATTTCTGAGAATGTCTAATAGTAGTGCAATAAACTATTGTGATTGGTAATAACTATCAGAAAATTGACATTTATCGGTAATAACTTATAACAAACTGTGTAATGGTGGAATTCGTGTTATAGTTACGTTCTGAAACTGTTTGATATCAGGTAATAATAATTACTATGATTTACAATAATTATGAGTGACCTGATATTGATTGTAATATATACTAATAAATTATGTAATGACGCAATTCTAGTTATATTTGCATTATTTAATGATTGCTCTCCTTAGCCAGCTGAATATCTCAGCAAAAGTTATAGTACTTGGTGTAAGATATAGGTGACATATTAATAAATCTATAAAATTTACTTTTTCATCAATACTGAAGTCTCTCTGTTTTGTAGAATTATCATGTCCGGTTATAGAGTCATTAAGTTTTCTGATGCTGCAGACGTGAAAAACGTGCAATTCCCTCGCTGAGACTCGAACCCTGGACCTCTCGAATACGCATTGAGTGTGTTTCCAGTTACACCACAAACGTATGCGAAAAGGTTTTTGCTTTTGGTTTATTTAATTACGGCAAAGCCCACTAGGGCTATCTGCCTAAGGGGAGGGATGCCTTCGTGGAGGACTTTGCAAGGAAAACTGGCTCGTTACACGTTACACATGGGCAAACCCACGCTGGCTGCACACATGGGGCTGCATGCAGTGTTCAGCGACTAATGCTAAAAGGAGTGAGAAAATATCTAAGGTTCATTATAATTATGAGTTATTGAAAGTTTTATATAATAAACTTGCAAATTTGCTGCAGAGAAGAAATTTTTAATATTTGAAAGGATATTTATTTCTAGATAGAGGTATTTAAATGAATGATTTTGTGTCGAATGAATGGAAATATGCTCCTGTAAATGAGTCTGTACGCAGTTTTTATTCTGCTTATTTGCTTCAACGTGTGTTTCCCCGTCATTCAGCAGTTTATTTTACGAATTCCCGAATTCTTGTGGCAGTACTACGCAATATTATATAACAATAAATAAGAAAGGAATAACATTTACTATTTATTTGTTGGAAAATGCTCTTGCGTAGAAATTTTGGTGCTATATGAAATACGTTTTCTAAGAACATTTTTAAAATAATGGAAATTTTTTTCCAATGGCGGGCACTTGCCTATAACGGCATTGGCCACTCCTAAGGCCAGAAGTGGTGGCCAATTTATTGTGGAGGCACCTAATACGCGATCACTGTTACCTCCTATGAAGTGATATAGAATTTTACATCCATGCCTTCTTCAGGATTCGAACCTGCGCCCTTTGGTATCTCAGTCAGGCTTCCCTAACCACTATACCGTCTGGGCGGCAAATCATGGAATTTCGGTCTAAGTAAATTTTAAAAGGAAAGTTTTAAAAATCATGTCATTCAGCCCTTTTCTGGTACCCATTTTCTGATTCTTTCAGTTTGTCTAATTTCACTCATAAATTCTGATATTAATTTTGTTTAGTTAATGAAATTTAAAACAAATTTATAAATCAACTTAAGTTCTAGTATTTCTGTGCTTATCATACTTAAAAATATTAATAGATTACAATGTGATAACCAGGCCTAGTGATCTTTTAAGTGAGATTTTGGTAGTGTCATGTTTATTAATACAGTATGAAGAGATACTTGCACTTTAAGCTAAATACATCAAACAAAACATTGTAACAAATAAACATTACACTTTAATAATAAAATAATCATAGTTGGCATTAGTAACACACATAATAATTTCTTTTGCATATACGGAGTACGAATTATTATGGACATAATATGGGTTACATTCTGCCATGAGGTTTGCTTATTTGCTTAGGAAATTAAATAAACTACATTTCCTACAGAAATGGAATTCTACTCACTATTTCCATAAGATACGAAACATTTGGAAATAAGATCAAGGGATTTAATTGATTAAGAAACGGAATGGTTGCGACAGCTTAGTTGATTATAATTAACGAAAGGCTTTCCAAGTAAGATCAATGATTTTATTGAACTTCCAGATGAGAATGTCTAAATCTCTAAACTATGCACAGACGATAATGCTTCGCAGTAAGTCCCTTACCGACCATGGATACTTACGTAACAGTGAAATAATTCCACTCCACTCATGGAGATAAATTTACATGACAAAGACAATATTTTTAATGAGAAATAAAGTATGAATCAGTATGTACAAGGTGTTTTCGGAAACTCCTTGAATAAATTACTATTGCAGACTTCTCAGTTTCTGATATCATGTTTGTTAAATTTCACTGTATATTGTTATTTAATATTAAATTCATTAGGGAGATTAATTCACCAAGGAACCTTGACGCAGCATGAAACTGATTTACAAATTGAACACCAAATTAACAGACTGCTGGTTTACCAATGCTATAAACTGAGGTTAATTACAAATCTGCTCTAAGTTTCTACCGTGAATAATTGCATACAAATAAGTTGAAATATTTGTTAATTTTAATATTTCAGTCTATCATTACGCAACTTGAATATTACTTGCTTAACAAAGGAAACTTAAGAAATCTGCAAGAGTGACGTCATCGTAACACGGCAGAGCTTCTCGACACTTTAGAAGCCAACTCTTCGTAAATGCCTACTTCTGTTTATTATCAAATAAGAAAGAAAATCCAGTTTAAAATTTTACAAGCAATTATTTTACAATGGACTTAGTTTTTACTTACAGAGGACTTAACGTTTACAGTGGATGCGCTAGTTAAAGCCATTTGTGACTTAGAGGTCATGAAGGGAATTAAAACTAAAAACTAAATTTGCTATAAAAATATTTAATATATTTACGCAATTAATTCATTTGACGTGATCTTACTTTTATTTTATTTACCAAGAGTATGAATTAATAATTTTTAAAGTATAATATAAAAAATGTGATACAAAAATTTCAAACAGCGAAATTATTTTCAACAGCTCTAAAGGATATTGCTATTTTCCGTTAGAAGATAAAAATCTTTCCATCTAAATAAAGATAGGAAAGAAAAAGTCTGAAAGTCAGATTTTATATAACGAAAAACGCTCATTTGTTTCATTTACAGACACATACACACTTCGAGAGCATTTGAGATAACGCCACATTGGGATAAAGTTATTTAAAAACAGTACTTCT